TTTTTTTTGAGACAGTGTCTCGCTCTCTCCCCCTGGCTGGAGTGAGTGGCACGATCTCGGCTCACTGCAAGCTCCGCCTCCCGGGTTCCCGCCATTCTCCTGCCTCAGCCTCCCGAGTAGCTGGGACCACAGGCGCCGCCACCACGCCCGGCTAGTTTTTCGTATTTTTAGTAGAGACGGGGTTTCACCGTGGTCTCGATCTCCTGACGTTGTGATCCGCCCGCCTCGGCCTCCCAAAGTGCTGGGATTACAGGCGTGAGCCACCGCGCCCGGCCGATGAACGGATTTATGTGAATAAGATCTTGAAAGAGCTGACTGCCCAACCACTCTCTTCCCACTCCCGGAAAGCCTCCTTCCTCACCATGGAATCAATGGTAAGTTTTCAGATTTCATTTCAAACCTGTCTTATCAACAGCATTTGTGCCGTGAACCATCCCTTGCTTTCCACACGTTTTCCTCGCATGGCTTTTAGGATGCCACATTTTCCCGGATTTCCTCCTCCCTTAGAGGACGCTGCTTTCAGTCTCCTCGGCTGCTGCTTCCTCTTAATGCTGAGATTCACTCAGGCTCAACTCTTGGTCCTCCCCTTTTCTCCGTCCACCCCCCTGGTGATCTCACCCTGTCTCATGGCCACAAAACCCATCGACAGACAAGCCAATGGCTCATATCTCCAACCAGGACCTTTCCCCGGGAGGTACAGGTTCTCACATCCAAATGCTTACTTGACCACTTCATGTGGGTGTCTAAGAAATGCCTCAAACTTCCTGTTTCCCAAATGGAACCTTTGAAGTTTCCACCAACCTGCTCCACCCACAGCTGTCCAGTCTCAGCTGAAGGCAACGCTATCTTCCAGTTGGAGTCAACCTTGACTTTTCTCTTCCTCACATCCCACATGCAATCTGCCAGGAAGTCCTGTTTGCTTGACTTTCAAAATACATTCTCAGAGTCTGATTTCTCACCACCTCCTCTGCTGCCCCCTGCTTTGAGCCCCCATCATTTCTCACCTAAAGGACTGCAGTAATTACCTAACTGGTTTGCCTGATCTCCTCCTTGCCCCACTATGGTACGTTTTTCACTGAGTTGCCAGAATGATTTTGTTAAAATATAACGGAAATAATAATGGTGGCAGCCTCAACATCCTCCAGTGGCCTCCATTATTATTGAGAGTAAATGTCAAAATCCTTGCAATGGCTCACAAGGCCTCCAAGGCCGGGTCTTTCTTACCTCTGACTTCACTTCCTATCACTCTCACCTCACTTACTTCCTCTCCCTCCCTCAGGCTTCCTTCTGGTCCTCCCACAGCCCCAGAGTGATCAACCTCAAAGCCTTTACATAAGACATTCCCTCTGCCTGGAATATTCTTCGCCCTTCAAAGCTGTTCTGTCTTTTCAGTGAGGTCTATTGATTGAGTTACCATACCTGACATGATATCTGGTCTCCACAACTCAGCTTTGCATGGCATAACTCAATTTCCATAATCTTCTAATATATGTAATTTACTCAAGTTCTTATTAATGTTTGCTCCTCCTGCCACACACAGACAAATTTTAAGCAGGAATGGTTTCAAATCCAACTCTGTCACTAGAACAGACTGGACATAGGTTAGGCACCCAATAAATATTTGTTGAATAAATAGCAGTGACAGGATCTCAAATCTTAACTTTTGGATGGTGCCGATACCCTGGGGATTATATAATCAAACCAACCGTCTCTGCTCAGCCTGGATAAAACCATGCAAAATGAAAAGTATCAGCTTGTTTTCAAACATCACAAAACCATTCTGAAGAAGCAAACCATGTTGGATGAGTCCAGTGACTGACATGTGTTCCTATGACTTCTCCTACGCCTGCTTCCTGGCATGCCCATCCTGGGACACTGGCGAGCCCGCTCACTGACACTGGCACTGTCTGTACAGTCGCCCAAGGATTTTGCTCCCTCAGATCTTCCTGGACTCCTGAACCTGATCAAGACGCACCTGCCTTAGCTTCCACCGTCATGGTGCCGTGTCTCCTTGTCACTGGTAAGTAACTATTTTGCAAGGAGAAGCAGCACTCTTTCAGAGTGGCGGCCCTGCAGCCAGTCTGCCAGGGTGTGCATCCTGGTTCTGCCTTGTGCCAGCTGCATGACCCCTGGGGAGCAACTTCGTGCCTCAGTTTCCTTAGCCATAAAATAAGGACAGTAGTAATACCTACTCCATGGGATTGTGGAAATCATTAATAAACATAAACAAGCTGGAACGGTGTCTGCATAGAGTAAACCCTTAATATCTGTTAACTGCTACTAATGTTGTTATTATTATTATCATCTGATTTCACAGGTGCTTTCAGAAGCTATTACCTTAATTAAAAGAAATCGCTCTACTGAATGAATTTTGCACATCTCGATTAGTTGATGGAGAAGATATTTGAGTAGAGGTATGATAACACCAGTTTGTCCTTTTAATCATTTCTGTTTAAGGCTCTTCTGCTTTATGAGTGGGTGGGGGGATCTTGGTGTCAGTTAGTTATCTTTTGGAGATTTTCTGCACAGTTTAAAAATATATCTCCTCAAGGATATGTTTTGGATGATCTTTAATAACACAGATACAAAAAGGAGTAGTATACAAATTATTTACTTAGACACCAGTGTTTTCAATATTGACACTGCTGCTGTTGCTGCTACTATTTTATCTTTTATTAACAGCTATCATTTATTGAGTGCTTGCTCTAGCCTAGTCTATGGTAATTCCCTAGTCTTATCATAACCTATGAATTAAGGATTAATTAGTATTCTCATTTCTTTGTTCGGACTCACAGGAAAGTTTAGATGAATGTCTCATCACATAGTGATGCCTGGATTAAATTCTACAGTTTACCCTTAAAGTTTATGCTCTTAGCACTACATTGTTTTATGGAGAAGTCAAAAAGAGAAGCACATTTATCCTGCTGACAGACTAATACACGTAAGCAGAAGGATGCTATGAGAGAATTCTACATATATGGAAAGAAAGATTTACTTCCTTCAAGTCTGGATAATAAAAGTTGGCTAATATACTTTCTGAAATGATAAACTGATTAAGTTTTAGTGAAAATGAATATTGGGTTGCAAAGAAATAGACACTGCTTAAAATTAAGATAACTGTTCCCTGCCAAAGCAAATTATAATTGACAATTATTTGAAGAGATTGTACACTTGTAAATAAAGTAAATCGAAGTGCAAAAAGGTCTCATATGAAAAATATTTCTTTGAAACCTAAACATGCTTTAAGTCCTGAAGTAGTTTGCAGTGTCTTAAATAACTGAGCCCTCAATGATTTTCCATAAATATCTAGAAGAAAAAAAATTTTAGAACATGATTTCTGGATGAAAGATCTGTATATGCATATTTACATTTAAAAATACCTAGACATTTGCTGATGAATTTAGTAGGGTTTTAAATTTGAAAATGGTTTCTTTCTCCTTTCCCCTCCTGCTTGGAAACTAAGAAAGCATTAGGTCATATAAGAAGCCCAAACCAAAGGAGTTAGGGTCTCTACAACACACATGTATTAATACGAAGAGACTGAGAAGCGTAAGGTACCACCCTGCAGCCTGAGGACTGAGAGGCCACTGCAACTGCAGATTTTTGTCTCTCTTGCTGAAGAGGTATCTTTGCAGTCTCTGGAGAAAGCTCAGGTAGCCGTTTGTGGCTTTCAGGATCCTGTCCTGAAAGGGGAGCTATCTGTATGGAAAGAAATGCTGTGTGTGTCTCAGGCACTGGATTAGGGGTCAGTGAGCAGGACCTTTTGAGAAATGATGGTACTTCAACAGATTTGGAAAACTGTGGAGTATTAACGGGGCTGCTACTTCCTAGATCCTTGTTATGGGTTAGTTTCAAGGTAGAAATCCTCCGCGTTTGAGAATCTTGCCTGTAGTCCTCTTGTAGAACTGGGGTGTTGATGTTAGTGAATGGTGCAGGATCCGTGCTGGAAGTTGCTGGTAGTGGATTAGTGATTTTTTGTGTATATGACATGGTTGTGTTAGATTCTTCAGAATATACAATTGTCTGTCTCGAATCTTCATTGGAATACATACTTCCCTGAGGAAGTTTTTTGTTAGCAAAGTACTCTGTATTGGAGGGAATTTGTGTGTTAGTTACTAACTGGTCTAAAATGACACCCTTTGTGTGACTGGTTATCAAAGAGCTATGAAAGCTCTCTTTTCTGTCTGGTGGAGGGGGTGCCTGGATTGACAATGGGATCCAGAGAGAGAAATAAAGTTGAAAGAAAAACAGAGAAAGTCCAAGTTAGTCACGAAATAAACCAGTGTCAACCTTGCCTTTACAGAAGTAAAGCAATGCCACACCTTCTGATTATGCTATCCATTTTGTTAGCTAGATTGAGTGATCATTTTCATTCCCTTTAGAATGCACTTACATTTATTATCAATGTTTGCCCTTAGGGGAAAAAAGTGTTTCCAGAGAATACATTATAACCTTTGCTCCACCTACATTCTGGGAAATTATGTTAAAAGTGAACATGTGTTCTCTTGGCATATTTTTATTAGACTTTGAAATATATATATATATATATATGGTTTGTTTAATAGCATTGTTTTATAACAGTTTTCATGCTTGGGGCATAATTTTACTAATATCTCCAACACAGAGCTCCTTTAGTTAATATAATAGTTGCATACTCATAATTATTGAATACATAATGTATTGCTGACCTCATCAGTTTAAATCCAAAGCATCAGCTGTCAGCTTTTAAAGAATTAGAATATATCCTAGAGATTATGTTAGAAACTGATATACTTTTATGAGCTTAATCAGAAACAAAACCAAACCAAACCCTTGTTTGTTAAAATTTGTTTTCCATGTTGTAAATACAAGCCTGGCAAGTAAACTAAATACAAAAGGAAAAACATATTAAAAATAAAACATGTATTAAAATATGCACACTAGGAAAGAAGCTGTAAGCAGTGGTCTTTATAATAATCATGCCTTAAAATAATACAGTAGACAAGAGTGTGCAGGGTTACCTGAGTTGGTGATCTTTTATCTTGTAGGTTTGGTCGAACGCTTCTAAAACCTTTTGCTGCAAGAGAGGAATATGTAGCATCTCCGTTCAGTGTCTCTTGATTGCCATCATTGTAAGATCTCCAAGCTTTCATTAAGGGAAAACAATTGGATACAAAAATATCTACGTTCACTTAAACATTTTTTATAAAATTTATTTTTATTTCCAAAATTGTAGTGTTCTTAATAGAGGTGTAATTTAATATGCATAACAGTATATGAAATTTAAATTTAACATGAAGTCAGCACATGTGGCTACGAATATGTTTTTTAAAAGTCACAAATAATGTAATAGTTATTCAGAATATTTTTTCTGTACCTGAGTCTGGTGACTGAGAATCACGGCCTGAAAGAAAAAAAAAATGTTGAAATGAAGACTAAGGTGAAATAAATTAATAACCCAGTAAAAATAACATGGCAAAGAACTATATGCATTATTTTTGCAAACATTATTTCAGTTTTAAAATCTGGGTATGTCAAACATGCCAAAGGGAGGCTTGTACATTTATTCTTACTTCAATTAGAATGTCATTCATTAAATATCTATAATATATAAAATCTATATGGCAAACACTAATTTTTCCTGTCAATGATGTTGTAACATGCAATTTTAATCTTATTATGGCCAAAGATGAATATGTGAACTTCTAAACATCAAATTAAAGGATCAAAAGAGATCTGGTTTATAAACAGCACTAACTCAAACCACCAGATCCTTAACTTTCAATGCCCTGCTGTTGATAAACATATTTAACTCCTGGGTTAGAGAACTGTACTCTGTAGTTTGCATTTTTTTTTAACCTTAGGAAACTGTAGACCTGTCTACCGTATCATGTGACATTTTCAAATTATTCTCGAGACTGAGTTTTTTTCTTATTGCCATATAAAAGTCATTTTACACTCAAATATGAAAGAGCTATTGCAATATGTTCCACTGTCTTTCAGCTAGTAAGCTGTGGAAAATACATTTCAGTACTAATAAATTGCTTTTGGTAAGGCAGTTGGCAAGTTATCGGTGATATATTTGTTATCAATTTTATTGAAGTTACATATTCCAGAATCTTCTATATGCAAATTTGAGGTAATCAGTTGGCACGTTTAACTCATGTATATTTGAAGTCATCAGCTTGTGTTGCCTGGTTTATTAAAGCACATGGTCAACTTTACTTAGATTCATTAAGCTTTTAGCCCAACCTGCTGTCCAGTCCTGGATTCCTTCTGCGTGTCCCCAGGACCATTATTAGATTCTTATTTCAATTCATAAAACAGGAACTTTACATGCTGAAAAAGTCTTTGTTTTTCTTTTAATGCTTCAGAATAGTTATTTTCAAGTTTAAACACAAGAATTTAGAATGATAAAAATGGGTTGAGAAATGCAAGCATCTGATTTTTAGATAAAATATTTGATATGGATTCTTTCCAAATCAAAGAAAGAAACACAAATGTGAGTCAGCACAGAGTATATTAGAATGATCCCAGCCCAGGTGAGCCAGAGAAGACTAATAAATTCCCATTCTTTATGATCATTGATAACTGTATGGATTTTATTTCCAATGAATTTAAAATTAGAGTAATAAAATGGGTACCATAGAGAAAAATCACTTTGATGAATTATGCATGAAATGCTTATTGGACCCTACTTCTAGAATTTGTACAATTTTTACAATTTTACTTTATTTTTTAAACATGTGGTCTTGCTATTTTGTCCAGGCTGTCCTTGAAATAGTGGGCTCAAGAGATCCTATAGACTCAGTCTTTTGGTTAGCTGGGGCTACAAGTGTGTGCCACTGGGCCTGGCCCTCCTTCTAGGATTTGATGGAAGCAGAAATGATTGAAATTCTTTACCAGTTATATGATGAAGATAAAGAAAAACACAGTTTGGCAATATAGAGCAATCATCAGAATTCTGTTTTGGGGCACTCAGGAGAGAGATTTAACAACCACGAGGCTGCCATTCACTGTGGACAATGAACAAATTTTGGGATTTGGGAAAGGACAATGAAAAATAAATTTTGGGATTGGGGAAGAGGCAATAAAATCGCCCAAAGCTCCTTTATGAGAAGAGAAGCAGCATTAATAACAATGATTATATTCTGATTATTTTCTTGAGTATAGAGAGTTTCTTTTATGCTTGGTTTGGTAAAACTGAGATAAAAAAGAAGGCGTGCGGTATGTGCTGGGGACGAGGTAATGGGAGCCAGAGGCTTGGAGGTACAAGGGGTGCGGGTGTGGTGAGAAAGAAGAGGGTGTACTGGGCAGGTCTGAAGGACACTGGAAATAAACTCCCTCTAATAGTCTGTAGGGGGCAGGCTCTGTTTCTTCACGCTGGTCACCGTGTTGAAGACGATGGAGCCCCAGGAAACGGTAAGCATGAGAATCAGAGGACAGTCACTCCAGGCTCAACTGTGGGTCTCTTCCTGGGACACTGGGCCCAGGGATTTCCAAATGAATCTGTCCCTGTGCCACTGGAAACATTACAGTAAGAGTGGTGGGCTGTGCTGAAGGGCCTTGCATCACACAGTGGACATGTGTGTGCAGAATTAAGAGAAAGGAGAAAATGGCCATGAATTCGAACTTCAGGATGAACCAATATTTTAATAAAGCTTGTGTGGATGATTAAAGCCTGCCTTGAAGTGGGTGGTCTTTCAAGGAGACTAAAGTACATATCATTTGTCTTTCTTTAAAATAAATCCAATTACAGATACTTGGAACACCCAGTCCTGATTTGCTCTTTATTACAGTCTCCTATATGGACACTGTTTAGCATAGCTCTGCTTTTATTTTATCCCTGCAGGAAAGCCTAGGAGAGGGAGAACACCTGTTCTTTGGGGCAGGTAATAGAAAGTATCATGGATCCATGTCAAGTAAAGAGAGCATAGGTTAGGGAAAAAAAAAAAAGTCGGTCAGGTAAATGGCTTGGCAGATGTGTGGGGAAAATGGTTTTCCCCCAAATCTGCAACATTCTTGATGCACATTCACTTGTTAAAAAAAACACAAAGCTAGGACTAGGGGCCTGAGTCCTTCATGTTTAGTGTTCTTTAGTAGATAGTCACTGCTTCACTGATAATCCACTAATGACTAAATGGTGTACGTTTTTCCCTTTCCTGGCTGTTTTGCATGTGAATATTTTAACAAATAGGGTCTTGAAGAATGAAGACCTCCACATGCTCTTACCAGCACTTTTCCTTGTATCGAGGCGCAAACTAGTGAGTATCTGTCTGGAATTGTGTGCAAGACATTCCTGGTTCCATGTCAGGGCTGGAACTGAATGCCCTCAATGGCCCTTTCCACTGTTATGATTCTAACATGACAGCTTTTATGTAGCTGTGTTTGTGGTACGTGTCGTAGCATAGCCTCTCCTCTCAGGTTTTATTTAAATCCCTTTTAACTGATGTGCTATACTGACACTATCACTTATACTTTTCTTGAAAATTATTTTGATGCCTATAACTCATTTCTTTAGAAGACTCAAGTGTTTTTTCAGAATTATTTTGAAATGTTGATTAAATTCAAGTCAACTAATTGAGTGCCTACTGTGTTTCTATGTACAAGTATAACCCTTTTCACTTATTTCTTCATTTACTCTCATTTATTCTGACAAATCCTTGTGAGCCTGGGAAACGATTAAGCTTTCAGAGAGGTAAGAAAATGACAAACATTTTTTCTTTTGAAAAAAAGGAAATGAGATCTAGACAGACTAATTTTCTTAAGGGCATAAAACATGCAGGTGGTATTGACAAGACCCTGCCTCTTGGCGGAGTGGTCCCCATACTGCAACAGGCCACTCTTGCCAGCGTTCCTTTAGGCTGCCAAGTGGTTTTGGTGAAATAAAATGTTTTTCATTGTTTCTCAATAGTCATTGTCTTGGTTCTAGCATAGGTTTAAAATATCCATGTGTGCTCTGATGGATTGTCCAGTGGGAATTTACTTCTTATAAAAGGAAAAGAGAAAGACAGAATGACTCAGGGGACAAAGAGGTGATGACTCAGATTGACTCTCTGATCTGAGAAGGGAGTGAAAATGGCCGGGGACCTTTTGTGGAGGTTTTACATAAAGGTCCCCGGCCTTTTGTAACAAATTACAAAATTGTTGTATTTTAACAATATCAAAGGCAATAAATATTTATCAATTCCCTTTTGATTCACATAAAGACACTGTATCATATAAGTTCTTATGAAAGCTACATAGAATGCAGTTGTGCATATTAATGCTGACTTCTTTATTCAAAAATGTAATGGAAACTTCTTTGAAAAAGGGGGCCAGGTGTGGTGGCTCATGCTTGTAATCCCAGCACTTTGGGAGGCCAAGGTGGGCAGATCACTTGAGGTCAGGAGTTCGAGACCAGCCTGGCCAACATGGTGAAACCAGGTCTCTACTAAAAAAATACAAAAATTAGCCAGGCATGGTGGCAGACACCTGTAATCCCAGCTACTCAGGAGCCTAAGGCAGGAGAATGCTTGAACCTGGGAGGCAGAGGTTGCAGTGAGCCGAGATCGTGCCACTGCACTGCAGCCTGGAACACAGAGCAAGACCCTGTGTTCCAGGGTCAAAAAAAAAAAAAAAATCTTACTTTATGTCTAATTGACACAAAAAAAGGCTGTTTTTAAACAATTATGTCCAAAATTCAGTGGACTTCATTCTCTAGAAATCTTACTCCGAGTGATAGAAAACTTAAAATAACCGAAAGCTACATTGTTATTACTGAAGATTATTTCATATTCTTGAAGTGCGAATTATTATTATTTTTTTTTTGCTGTTGTAATTTTGAAGCGTTAAATCTTTTCTATTAATTCAAGTTATATGAAATTGCGTGTATTCAGATAACTCTCCACATTGGCACTGTCGAAGCAGTGTGCCATGCCCTGGCATATGCAGCAAGGTTCACGTCTGAGTAGGCTGGGCGGAGATCCTATTTGGTTGAAATGTCGATGACATTCAGGGTATTGGCATTCCAATTACACGATGGCCCTGAACTCTTAACATTTATTGTCTTACTTGCCTTCCTTCCTGTTTCCCATAGTACCCAATGTAAACACATCTGTAGTTTTTCTAACACCTTTTTGTGTTTATACATGCATGAGCCAATACATACAAATAGAGATTTGTAGAAAGATGTTTTTTAACCAAAATGAGGTCATACTATAAACCTTGTGCATTTTCTTTTAACTTAATACATAACTGAACTCACTAGCCAGGCATTTAAACTTGGACGTTGAAATCCATTGTGGATTAGAGGTGGTGATGGAAGTGGGATTCTCCATATGGAAGTCCGTTTTTGTTTTTGTTTTTTTTTCTCTAGAGAAACTCAGTAGTTTAGAATTAAGTGACTGTAAAGCGAAGGCCACCCTGAGTATTTAATCAACTGCTAGATGTATGTGTGTAGAAGACTGTGATATGCGTAGTGAGAATTAAAATTATTTAAAGACTCCCCATCCCTTTCTCACTTCTGCTGTAAGATCCATTAATCTTATAAATAAAAGACAAGCAATCCCCAAACTGCAACTAACCAACCAGCCGACCAACCAACCAGTCACCAACAGGTGTGGGTCTATTTCAGGGTCTGGAGGCACTGGGCTTGCTGGCCTCCCTCCGACCTTCTAACAGCTGCACCCCCTCCCAGTGCAGACTGTGCCTTAGGTACTGTGCCTAACTTTGGTACTGTGCCTTAGGTAGTCACAACAGAGATTTATTATAAAGAGACCACCTGAGTGGATGCTGAAATCTCACGTCCCCAGTGACTTCCTATCTGTGGGCGCATGTTAATCTTAATTAGTCAAGATTTTGATATGTTTAAATATATATATTAGAAGGGTCTTTGCTGACTGGATTAAAGGAAAGCAAAGGTGTCTTTCAAAACTAATGTTCTATCATTCTGTTCATAACCTTTGACAAAGAATCCAGTTAATGAAGATTCAGTTTCCTACAAATCCCTTTTTCATCCTGTACCCTTGTACTCCTACCCCAACAGTTTTTAGGTTAAAAAAAAAACCCGAAAAACCTCTGAGTTATCTTAATGAAATATTATGTTACTTAAGTTCATGAGATAACAAAAACTTAAATAGTTATTAACACTTGCGGTTACTCAAACTATTTTTGGCAAGTGACTATTGTTTTTAATTATACATTTGAAATGTTTCCTACAAGATCTCATTTTCCTTTGCTTTTTATGTTTAGAACAAAAACAGTCAGAAGAGCTAGAAGCCATTCAAGTGCGACATTCTGTGAGTTAGTGATATTATACCTGCAGCCAATAGGTTTGGAGAACTTTGCACTCTCTTCACAGATGTTAGCGTAACAGACATGGCGGCACGTTTGCGAGCACACCCACCGCTATCTGGAAGCAAAAAAAATGATATAGCAGAGGCCAAGGCAACGGGAAAAGCACATGCAGTATCATGCATTTTAAGTGAAATGTGCCAGACATCCATGAGAAAGATGAACAGTTAGAATTAGTAACCATGGAATGCACCTGCCAATTTCACACCACCCTCAAACTAAAACAAACAAAATGAAGCAAAACAAAGGAAGATCAGGGATCTGTCTTAGAAATTGGTGTCACTGTTTTAGTGAAAGCATGGAAGACTTAATACTTAACATTTTATGGTTTTCTTTGTGAAAACTCAGGCACGGAACTCAATCTTGTTTATACCATTTAAATTCAATTTATACTAAATCTATAGGCATTGGAGCTGGCTTTCAGAGTCAAGGATCAGCTCTATGTCAGGATTAAAGGCTATGGTACAACACACTTTTAAGTTAATATCATTTAAGTTTTACCATCTTCTAGCTGTTATAATTCCCAAAGAGAGCTTGAATAATTCTTGCAGTAAAAATTATTAGTGACACAGGTATGATATATTTTTGAGGATTCACAGAGGAACACATGGCATTATGGAAAGTCCATTCTTCCTGTGGTTATTGTTAGTTATGCAAATAACTAGCCTTATTAAAATAAAAGTATTGCTATATATGGTATTGAAATGACCATGTTTAAAGAAAGGAGTATATTGCTTTTACTTTTCAAATTTTTATTTTTAGAGCTGGGTCTTGCTCCATCCCCCAGGCTGGAGTGCATCATAGCTCATTGCCGTCTCAACCTCCTGGGCTCAAGCAATCCTCCTGCCTCAGTCTCCTGAGTAGCTAGGACCACAGGCACACACTGGCTCACGTTTTAACTTTTTGTAGAGACGTGGTCTTGCATGTTCCCCAGGCTGGTCTCAAACTCCCTGGCTCAAGTGCTCTTTTCACCTCGACCTCCCATTACAAGCATGAGCCACCACACCTGGCCTCATTTATTGCTTTTATACTTTTAACAATATGTGTACTATGATTCATATATTTAAACTTATGCAAGTCATAATGTGAAATAAAATCTGTGTAAGTTCATCAGTCATTTTAATGTGCTATGAGAAGTTTAGACTTCTAAATTTGGAAGAGAAGTCTTTTAAAATTGGAAGGCCAATGTTCTATTTATGACCAGATTCAAATTCCACTCTTACATTCCTCTGTAATATGGTATGTGCAATAAATAGTTTTGCTCATTCTCCTCATTCTGCTTATTAAGTAAAACCAAATTAAATTAAATCTTTTTGAAAGTTATAAAAAAAAAAGACAATATAACCACCGATATAGTAACATAATCATGATATATTGTGACATGTCCATTTTTCCTTTTTCTTTATTTTCATAGGGAAAGTATCAAGTTTGTTTATTGGACATGACAGAATTTAGATGAGTAAAGACGCTTGGAAGGATAATTCAAATGAATTTTTTATAAAATTTGTAAATAGATTAATAGAACTTAAAATCAGTGGAGAAATTCTTATATCAAAACTTCACTTTTTAAAAGTACATGTTTAAAGTAACAATTTCTTAATGTAGAAAATCATTAAACCAGAAAACCAACTTGAAAGAATATTAAAAGAAAATGAAGTAAATAAATCAAACATTATACTTAAGAACCCAAAGAAAGTGACACAAATGGTAGAAACAACTGAAGATTCCTTCAGGACAGGTTCCAAAAGGATTTCAGCAAACTCAGCAAACTGAAAGTGCTTAGAGACAAGGGTGTCTGATAAGATGGAGGAAATGTTATTGCTTCCAGAAGCTGTGAACTGGTTAAAATGGTTGTGTAGTCAAAGGTGTTGAAAGTGAAAACGGACATCACGCTAAAAGTGATTTTATTTCCTAGTTCTATTAATTCTGAACATCTAAGAAGCACATAGGTGAAAAGAGAAAATTCCAGAATGAGAAGATCCAGGGTCACAGGTTAAACCTCTAGTGTCCACCCTGTGGGCTGAGACGCCCTGGGCTGCGCTGTGAATTCGCAAGGGTGTTGGGGACACTTCCTGTTTTGAGGAAAACACAGTGCTAACTGTTGGACCCTCGGATGAGACGCCCTGGGCTGCGCCGTAAATCCGCAAGGGTGTTGGGGGACACTTCCTGTTTTGAGGAAAACACAGTGCTAACTGTTGGACCCTCGGCTGAGACGCCCTGGGCTGCGCCGTGAATTCCCAAGGGTGTTGGGGGACACTTCCTGTTTTAAGGAAAACACAGTGCTAGCTGTTGGACACTTGGCTGAGATGCCCTGGCCTGTGCTGTGAATCCGCAAGGGTGTTGGAGGACACTTCCTGTTTTGAGGAAAACACAGTGCTAACTGTTGGACCCTCGGCTGAGACGCCCTGGGCTGCGCCGTAAATCCGCAAGGGTGTTGGGGGACACTTCCTGTTTTGAGGAAAACACAGTGTTAACTGTTGGACACTCGGCTGAGACGCCCTGGGCTGCGCTGTGAATTCGCAAGGGTGTTGGGGGACACTTCCTGTTTTGAGGAAAACACAGTGCTAGCTGTTGGACACTCGGCTGAGATGCCCTGGGCTGCGCCGTGAATCCGCAAGGGTGTTGGGGGGTATTTCCTGTTTTTAAGGAAAACACAGTGTTAACTGTTGGACACTCGGCTGAGACGACCTGGGCTGTGCCGTGAATCCGCAAGGGTGTTGGGGGACATTTCCTGTTTTGAGGAAAACACAGTGCTAACTGCTAGACGCTCCAGGAATTGCTCGCTTGGGGCAGTGCACGTTTTCAGCGTAATAGATGTGCTGTATTCCTTTTGATGACATCATATTTTTAAAAAACTGGGATTTTGATAGTTGCTGTGATAAAACGCAAGTACCCTCTGAAGAACATTTTATTTATTTATGTTTAGAGACAGGGTCTTGCTCTATTGCCCAGGCTGGAGGGCAGTGACGCACTCGGAGCTCACGGGGCTCAAGCTGATCCTCCTACCTCAGCTTCCCTCATCGCTGGGATTACAGGCACATGCCACCACACCCAGCTAATTTTTAAAAATTTTATAGAGATAGGGTCTCACTATGTTGCCCAGGCTTGTCTCCAACATCTGCAGTCAAGCGATCCTCCTGGCTCAGCCTCCCAAAATGCTGGAATTACAGGCGTGAGCCACTGTGCCTGTCTGGCCTATAAAACATTTTAGATCAGTAAATGAGAGTGGCCATGAACAATCTAATTCTGAGGTCTGAGAAATTTTTCAGTGTGCAACAGGCACACACATATTATTAGTAAGTAATTCGTGTTATAAAAAAGGAAAAAAACTATTTTCTTTCAATTTATGTGTATTATTTTGTCAAATGGCTTCTAAGTTGTTAGAACAAAATATTTCTAAAGTAGTTATTAAGTTATTAAGTTGTTAGCACCTAACTACTTAATAAATAGAAGTGTTACGTATTTTTGGCCTAGGAGCACAATGAAAAAATTACTGAGACATTAAAGGTCACTGTAAACCAAGAAAGTTTGGGAATCTTTGCCAATTTATGTACTTTAGGAAGCTCTAAGTCCTAGATGAAATAAATGGAGACTCTGTCTTTAATAAAGTTTAATAAAGAGCTGAATTCTAAAACTCGAGGCAGTTGTAAAATTGCTGGAACAGAATAATCTATTATATTCTGTTTCTACTTCCTTATGTATTGATACTTTCTGATACTCCTTGAAGATATTTTTAAGATCTTAAAACGAGGATGCTACCTTTCATATGTCGGTTTATCCTAAAGAATCCTAATGCTGGTTTTGCCTTTGGTCCTCATTAATGACCTACAGCCTGGCTGGGCTACTCTTCCCCTGAGCTGCAAGATTCCTGGAAGCTGTTCCTACTGCTGGAAACCACTCATATGGGTAAATTATACATGGAGAATTATTTCATGTCTTTCCTTCTCTCCTTTCTTTGATAGCTAAGATAGGCCTAAGAAAGTAATGGGTTGAAAATTCTAAAACTGGACATATAACATGTTTTCTATATTTTTTCTACATTGTTTAAACACTTTAGTATGAAAAATTAACTGCATTCCCCATGGCTAGTTTATTATGTACTAATTAAAAGCAAATACTTAACTTAAAAGAATGCTTTTTAACCGTAGTGACTGACACATGAAGATTTAAATAGGAATATATCTTTTTAATAATTGATATATTGGATAGATATATGAATCAAGAAAGAGATATATTCTTGTTTAAATGAATATTGATATCAATAAGACTGGCCTGTATCATCTTATCTATATAATCTATTTGCGTTATCTATCCATATATTATCTGCATTACCTATCTATTTATTGATATTTTCTATCAATAGATAGAAAGATAGATAGACAAAAAAGAAGAAGAACTAGAAGCTATTTTGGGGACTAGAAAAATAACTTGTGGGGCCACTTTATTCATCTCTGTCTGTCTGTCTATCTATCTATCTATCTATCTATCTATCTATCTATCTATCTATCATCTGCCTATCTGAAGATAGATAATGCAGGCCAGTTTTTTTACTAGCTCTTTAGGAACAAATTCCTACTTCATTTTGTAAACACAGTAACAATGCTTTCAAATTTCAAAGGCAATATATGTGTGTATACATATACATATATATTTAAAAGTGGTATGTTTTTGTAAAAACATTATAATTATTATTTTGGAATTTTAAGCAAAAGTTTTCAGTCACTTTTGATCAATTTTATGCACAGGTTTGAATACCATATTTGCCAATCATTATACATAAGTGGAAGTTCATCCACATAAGCGAAATAACCCTATGTAAACTGCATCCCATCCAGAGTCAAGCTCACTCCTTAGAAATGAGAAGATACTTTAGAGGGTTACATTTGTGCTGCTAAACAGTAACTTGGCTCAAGTACCTTAGTGACTGAAACAAATTGGCAAATTTTTATGTGCTTACTTTGCTATGAGGGATTGAATTATATGAATAGGAAGGTCAATTATTGAATGTACTGCACATGAACACAGTATATTCAGTATATCATGTATGCATATCTCTGTCATAATAGGGTTATAATAAATAGGAAAATGGGCACTCAGTAAAATGAGGAATACTGGGAAGTTATGATCCACTTACGTCTACAGGGAGATGTCTTGGAAGGATCAGGAAAGATCACTTCCTCATGTGAAACTTCTGCTGGAGTGACTTTGTAGCTCCAAAACGTGGCTGATGCTAATCCAGCTGTGGGCTCTACATTCTATTTGCTTTCTTTTGTCTCCTTTACCTAGTACTATTTTCTACTTCATTCCCCATGTCTAATTCTGGCATCTCCAATCATCAAGATGCCTTTGTGTGGTGCATTTGCAGGGTTACAACTTCTCTTGATTGCTGAGCCTTCCTTGTGTGTTTTGACTGTCTCCAGTATCCTCATCTTGCTTGTTGTCCACTTGTCTGCAAGGTGACAGCATCCTCAGGAGCCTGCCCACACAGCCTTCTCTGAGGCCACTATGGTACATGGCACATGGCACAAGGCTCTGCACTCAACCTGGGGATTAGGTATTGGTCCTCACCAGTGGTTGGGTAATCCTCCTGTAGGCACTTTGATGCAACAAGAGACCTCAAAAAGGCAACCAGCTGGACATAAGAGAATATCTTGGGCCATCCTTTCTACTCTGCCATGGGGTGACGGCTCCAACAACTTTCCAGTGATCTCTTGTGGATAGGAAATTTCAACACAAGTTACAAAATCTCAATGAGAAAGTTGTTTCTTGAATTACTTAATATTGTATATTTCAAGGAGGGGGGAAGGCAAAATTATAAGCCAAATTATGTCTACTGTGGAAAAAAGTTCATATGTACAAAGCCTGTATCATGAACACTTTTACAGTTAAAATGTATACAATACAGTTTAGAGGCACAGTTGTTAAGCTAGTTGGAGATACTATTCTCACATCTACACATATAATGCTTATAACACTATGTGAATTGTGACTATAGTTTAATTAAGCTGACTTTGTATAAAACTTTGGCACTCTCTCTGCTGACTTCTTCAACATAAAGAGTTTATAAAACAGATACGTTTAAGTAGTTTCTACCAGAGCAACGTGCCTTTGAATTTAGCCTATTTTTAAGTGAGAGATTTCAAAAGTACACAAACAAATGACATACTACCTCTTCCAATTGTTTACAGGAGTTCGTTTTAACATGTGATTAGAGACAAAGGGAGTAGGAGCAAGTAACAGAACAGAAAATTCTATGTTTGGTGGCCATAAGAGTGGAGTACAAATACAAAGAGAGAAAGTAATGAATCTACGCTACGTATCTAATCAGAAACTCAGAATCACACCTACGATCAGTGGAGCGCTAAGCTAATGATTGAGGGCCAACATGATTTTTAGAGAGCAAGGCTCAAAGAGTTGAAAACTAACAGACAGCATACCTGTGTTCATTTTGACCTTGGAGAGTTTGTTATTAAAGTCTTCAGTTTTCCTGTAGAAAAAAAACGGTGCATAATTTGTTCGCTAGCATGTGAAGAAAATATCATGAAAGCGTGTCTTGCTTTTGATGTACCTGTAAGTTAATATCACATTATCATTAGTTTTATTTAAATCAGTGTTTAATAAGGTAGGAAGAATTGATAATTTTCTTCATGTTAAACTTTAATTATTGGTCCTATGATCATAAAACAGATCATATTCTGTTTTTATGCTTTTGCTTTATGGTGAACATTAATGGATGAAAATGGAGAAGTTTTGTGCTTGTTTTTTTTTTTTTTTTTTTTTTTTTTTTTTTTTTTTTTTTTGAGACGGAGTCCCTCACTGTCACCCAGACTGGAGTGCAGTGGTGTCATCTTGGCTCACTGCAACCTCCACCTCCTGGGTTCAAGCAATTCCCCTGCCTCAGCCTCCTGAGTAGCTGCGATTACAGGCACATGCCACCATACCCAGCTCATTTTTTGTATTTTTAGTGGAGATGGGGTTTCACTATATTGGCCAGGCTAGTCTTGAACTCTTGACCTCTTGATCCACCTGATTCGGACTCCCAAACTGCTGGGATTACAGGTGTGAGCCACCTTGCCTGGCCTGTTTGTTTCTTTTTCAATGAGAGAGGGTTGTGCTCTGTTACCCAGGCTGGAGTGCAGCTGGTGTGATCATAGCTCACTGCAGCCTTAATCTCCCGGACTCAAGCCATCTTTCCGTGCCTGATTGAGTTTTCTTTTTAAAAAATTAAATTTCTTTTACAAATATTTATACAAATGGTTGTTGTTCTCTAAGCCTGAAATGACTATCTGTTAAGTGTACTCTTCTGGAGTTTTAAAAGTTACCCTGGCACTTTAAAATCATTGCCTGACATGTGCTGGTCTATTTACTACCAGGAATATGTAATGAAAGTAACACATATTTTGAGGGCACTGTCAAGAAAGATGAGATTCATCTGTCTCTTTTTTTAAGACACAGGAAATAGATGGTTACTACAAAACCCATTTCTGCATTAGTATTGAACACTGATTTTTCCCAGTGAAATGCTGGATGCATAGCAATTGAGATTAATTCACTAGAAATGGTTGGCAGCAAGGGCTTGTCTCAGAAAAATGTTTTAAATATTATGTATCGTTTTACGACATGTGAGATGACTTAGTTCTTTCTCTGGTATATTCTCTTAGTCCATTTATGGAGTTTCCTATTTATCCATACTCTGAGACCAAAGAGGAAACACATGCTGATAAGGAAGCAAATCTCCTAAGTCTCAGAGCTCCCTGCAAGAGCCGTCTGACCCCGGCCACTTGGCCTTTGCTCCTGAGTGGGCCTGTTGTTCAGGATCCACGAGAATCTCCCCCAGCACGACACACTCACAGCTTCCAGGAGCATTAGTACTGCAACATCTGACCATTTTCAAGACTTTTATTTATTCCTTTTGGATGAATGAGGATAACTTTGAAAAGAAATCATTGGCATGATCACCTGTCATGAAAGACTTTCCATAAATACAGTTTTTTCAGTCTCTAAAAAGAGCAGCAAATGAGCTTCCTGGCTTTCTTGCCTTTGTCTGCCAAGGTTCTCACCCTCTTCTCCTTTCTGACCATTTCCTCTGCTCAATTCGACAACTATTATTTTCTTTCAATGTGGCTATCTGATTCACCTCTTATGGAAAGCCTGACTTTGTTCATTAGTGAGGTAAAATTATAATAATAAAATCAAAATGTGAATTTTAGCTAAATATAATGGTACCTCTCTCCCAGTGGGGGGGAAAATGATGAAATAAAATAAGATTAAAAATATACTTAAGTCCTATGAAATATAATTATAAAGCAAGATTTTATATATAGATACATATATGTATAATGTAATCCTCATTTTGCTATATACACATGTATATGTACACACACACATACATATATTTGCCTAGATTGAATTACTAATACCTTAGGACTCAATAAATGCTAAATTAATAAACATTTAAAATGGGCAAAATCACAGTACTGATAATCACCTCAATATATGTTTTTAGAGCTCTAAGCTGAAAACAATATAGATGATATCCTTGCTATGTGGTGTTTAATTTTTGTGTAGTCTGTGTTCAGTGTCATATCCTTGCCCGTCTGCCCGAGGCATCGTTGCAGTGTTGGGATTAGGGCAGGAGCCATGCTTAGTGTGGCCAGGCCAGAACTGAGTTTTCACAGGGTTACGGGGAACTTCACAGTGACATGTCATAGGCCAACAGACTCTGAAAAATGATGGAGGGAAATTTTATGATGATAAATTTTATCTCCTATTTTTCAGTGTATGCAACTAAACAGGCACATTTCTGTTTTACTTTGTTGTTTTGTTTTTCTCCAGAATTACACGGAAAAATGTGGCATATTTCTAAAAACTCAACTTGGTCGCCTTAAGACCGCCTATATTGAGGGATACCGATGAGGTCAGGGAAGAGGGCAGTGGTCAGCACAGGAGCTTTGGGAAAGCTCCTTCAAACATATTTATTTTCATCTCTCGGTAGCAAAACTCCTAATATGTTAACCTTAAATGGACAAAATAAATGGAAAAGAAAAGCCTCAGGGGATGTCTGTGACTGAGACTGAGGCAACTTCTAAAACCAGAAGGGATAAACAACCTCCAGAAAATGCGGATTATAAGGACCTTTCCCAAATTCGACTTCGTCATTCCTTTTGAAACCAGGCGACGCTGTGCTTAAAACTGCTTAAGGTTTTACAACTGAATGAGGAAGACAGTATTTGGACTAGAATAATAGTGATTGACAAAGACAACATCAAATACAGAAGGTTAACTCTCAGAATACAAAATCTGCTGATATACTGTAATAATGTTTTTGTACCAAGTTGCAGAACTAGTTATCAACATCTATTGTTTGAATTCAAATGCCAATATTTACAGAACATCTAACACTCAAAAAGTAAAATAAGATTAACAAGAACAAAGAAAGGCGCCACAAATCCTTGAGGTTTTCATCTTTAAAGTGATGTATCCTGTTACTTATAAATGTAATTTGTGAGGTTTTTCAACTTCCCATTGTTTTCGATGTCAAAATGTGAAATGACTAACTTCCTAATTAAGCAAGACATTTTCCAAGTCGTTAAAAGAAGAACCCCAGTGACTGAGCTCTCAAGAAGAACCTGAAACCGAAAGGCTTCTTGGATGACTAATAAAAATGCATGATTCTATTTCCATTATTTGTGCTAAGTCCATTAACAAATCCACGACTGAGAACTCTCTTTAGACAGTTCAAACTAAAGTGAATCTAATCTCTTTTGTTCTGCTCTGAAAAAGTGTCCTTGATTGTACTTACATAACAAGCACAGATTATTCTGGAAAGCATCAAATTCCTAGAGTCTTTGCATGCTACTAGAAAACAGTATTTCAAGTATTCTCTTCACTTGGAATTGAACCAGGGACGAGACTATGAGAACTGACCATAACATGGTCATGAGCCTTAGCAGATGGTCCATGGAGCAAAAAACTCTCCGAACATGAAGGGATCACATGATTTTCAGTAGGTGCTAGGGGGTTGTATTTACTTTTGTCAAAGTTTCATATAAAAAGCAACTTCATATGTGTCCTAATTTGTGACAACAATGGATTTGTTTTACTTACAGGTTAGAGTAGCCTCCACTGCCAAAACACATATGGCAATAGACTGTGTTGATTGTTTGTGGAAGGGCTGTTAACAGCATGACTTCGGATCTATAGTCTTTTAATTCTGCTTGAATTTCTTTTTTTTCTTTTCCTTTTTTTTTTTTTTTTGAGAGGGAGTCTCACTCTGTTGCCCAGGCTAGAGGGCAGTGGCGCGATCTCGGCTCACTACAACCTCCACCTCCTGGGTTCAAGTGATTCTCCTGCCTCAGCCTCCTGAGTAGCTTGGGATTACAGGTGTGAGCCACCACGCCTGGCTAAATTTTGTACTTTTAGTAGAGTCGGAGTTTTACCATGTTGGTCAGGCTGGTCTCAAACTCCTGACCTCGTGATCCTCCTGCCTCGGCCTCCCAAAGTGCTGGGATTACAGACGTGAGCCACCACGGCTGGCCAACTCTGCTTGAATGTCTTCGGATTATCAGACACCTCACTTTTCTCTGAGTCAGAGCAGACTGTGTTCTCAACATGCATAAGAGAATAGACTGGGTAATTTAACTTTTGAAAGAGGGTCCTAAGGAGTTTGATCCTGCATGGGTATGAACATGCCTTTGTGCCTGTTGTCTTATAACTCTGCTTGAATTGTTTTGATTACCAGGCATCCCATTTTGAAGAGCAGCAGAGACAAAATCCTTTCCCCAGTGTTGGCCAAGAATTCTATGTAGGTCATTTTATTTTTGTAGACCTGAATTTAAGCACCAAGACCATGGATGAAACTAGAGGATTGAATTTTATCTCAGTTAATGTGAGGAGTTGCCCAAAAGATAACTTAAGCCAATACATTGCTACAGTTATTTTGAAATTAATATATTCACAGTTCATATATTATTCAAAAAAGGACATATTGATGTTTAAGTAGTAGGAAAACATTGCAGGATGTTAGTTTTTTTCACAGAGATGTATTTTAAACATGAGAATAAAAATACAATCATATTAAGGTTATGTACCAGATTTTAACTTGAATTTACTTATTTATTTTGAAATGGGATCATTTGTAGCACTCTTTTTGGATAAACTGTCCTAAGTGATCAATGTATTAATGCATCTCTCTCTGTCTCTGACTGTGGTAAAATAAGATGTATTCATAAATGCCAAATGATTTCACCTTTCAACTATAGTCAAATGACTTAATTCAGGTGGACATTCATCTTCACCTGTCTTTCCTATATGTCAACATGCTGCTTTGAAATATTCACAGGAAAACTCCAAGTAGTTTGTTTTGTGAGTTTAGAAACTCTTTTCTGACTAGTTTCTCGAAATTGGCTCAGAGAGCCTTCTGCCTCTGAGTGGGTGGCACACAAGTCAACAGTAATGGCATGACTGTCCATGCTCCTAAGAACACCA